AGCAGGAAACTGGACTAAAGGGCCACTGTGTGAGTCAATGTTTTTGTAAAGTTTACATACATAGAAATGTTCCAATGTGCAGTGTGTTCCATACAAAGCATAGCTATGATGGGCACTTGAAGTAAGATCACCTAATTTGTTTATTCTAACAAACTATAAATATGCTGATTTACTGCTCACCTGCAGAAGTTTCTCTGCTGTGGGCCTCTTCTTTGGGTTCTTAGTCAGAGCTAGCTTGACAAAATGGTGGAAGTTATTTGTCCTGTTTGTTCGGCAGAAATAGGAAGACACAGAGAGGGAAAGGGTTTTAATCCTTTGGCCTATAGCCGGACAATCTCAACAATAAGGTTTTGGATATACCGTACAGTAAAATGCATCATAATGGATGAAAATAATGAAATACATCTGAGACACAAAATAAAATCCTAGGATGGTCTTTTACCACTTGAGTTTGTCTTTCAACTTAGGAGGCTGGAAATTGCTCTTGGTCATTAAGAAGAGAGCCCTGTGAGGAGAGAGAGACATGGATCAAACCTCAAACCTTTACAGTGTAATGATAAATAGTGGCACAGCATGCATACAAATATAACAACAACAATTTAATTACTCTGAGAAAGCAAACACTGATGAAACTGCTGAGTGAACACAGGTCCACTGTGCTATCATCCCACTATACTGTACACATTACACCTACACACCTCATGGGGTGCAGGTCAAACATGGGTGGCTGCAGTTCAGCCAGCTCTATTGCAGTGATGCCCACAGCCCAGATATCACACAGCTGGTTGTAGCCTCCTTTCCTCTCCACTGCTGCTACCTCTGGAGCCATCCTGTGGAGAGAGGGAGAAAACAGGAGGAAAGAAAGGGAGCAGAAGGTCTGCTTAGTTTACAAAACACTAAATCAGGCTAATTAAACACAAGAACAGATGAATGTAGCAGCACAGAGGGTTCCTGCCATGACCCTGAAGGACCACTCTGTTCTCCATGTCACTGACTTTGTAGGGATGCCAAAAAAATCATTTTCATTTCTTGTTTGTTGTTAATGTTTTATGAACACATGAGTAGCCGGGTTCCACTTCGGCCGCACTGAAAACGAACAATAAATGCATGAAGCATGCTAGGGGTACATTCTGGTAGCATGAGCCAACAGGCAAATTCCTTTATACTGCCTGACAGCAGAGAATTTATGAAATGCCTACAATTTTATTTTCTTGGAGCCTCCAGAAAGCTGGATTTTATAGATTAAAATCAACTACCAACATGTGTATCCACAGACTGTCTGAAGGAAGGTGACTGGTGAGCACAACTCACCAGTATGGAGTTCCAATGAATGACTTCCTCTTGGCTAGAGTTGCTGTGATCTGGGCCGATACACCAAAGTCAGCTACAGAGAGAAGAAGGGAGGATGGGAATGAGAATAAGATTAGAGGGGAAAATAAAGAAAGAATGGGGGAGAATGTTATTAGGGAGATATAAAGAAGAAGAGTAAGAAGAGAAATGATTATACAAAGGGGGACGAGGAGAGAGTGAAAAGAAAACCAATGTTGGTAAATGAGATTGTCTGAATTCAGTGTTTTGAGGCAGAAGAAACCTGCCCATGCTCTGAGTGTTACTCTCACCTAGTTTAACATAGCCGTTGTCTGTCAGGAGGATGTTGGCTCCCTGTCAGAAACAGACACAGCACACATGAAGATCCAGCAAAAAGAAATCACACTTCAGATCAATTCCAATTAGCTTAAGAAGCACATTCAGCAGTGCAAGTTTGGTGCCAAGTGGTTTGTTGCTGATAAGTGCTGCCTGCAGCTGTGAATGAACCGTTTTCCTTGTCACAAACATCATCAGCTCCACAATAAAAGGTGGATCCATTTTTAAACATTAATGATTGTACACTAAGTGTCCATTAAAATAAACAATTCTAATTTAACAGAATTAGTGGACCAGACTATGCTTACAAATGTCTTGACAGGAAGTACATACAGTATAAACCCACTATACATTGGAAATGTTTGATACTTTAAGATTCTCTGACATGTACATTACACTTAGGCTTTTCTCCAAACTCACCTTGATGTCTCTGTGCATCTTGCCTTTATTGTGTAAGTAGTACAAGCCCTGAAAAGAAAATCACACATCAACACTGGATATATGCACTTGTAGATCAACTTGGCACTGAAAAGCAGAACAATATAAAAATATTTAGACATTTTTCACCAGATGTGTCTGTTGGTTAAAGAAAACCAAATGTCTGGGAGACTAACTCCACTTACAGTTGGCAGCTTAAACATATCATCTGTGTGTCTGTCACTGGCTCCAGTGCACAGAGCCAACACTTTGTTTCCTCTGTAACTGTGTCCAGGTGTGGTGCTCTGGGGAATAATCCCAGTTTTGTCTCAATATTAGCACACTTCTAATTTATGTTTCAATTTAAAATACATCTATAGAGTACATTTTGATCTTTGTACAACATATTTAATAATAAAATTAAATACAATGACATTCCTTAAGTAGCTCAAGACAGTTCCATGACTTCAATAATGTCAAGCAGGCAGCTTTGACTCAGAGTCAAAGTTAAAGTGTAGGCATTAAGCACTGGAGCCAATGAAAAGGATTAGTCATGACTTTGGCATCTATACTCTCATCATTTTAGAGAGAGAGGGGAAGTCAAGCAGATCCACCTGATCAGAGGATGCCCAATAAGAAGTGTCTTTGTTTATTCTCTGTTCAACTGAAATTTATACCTTCACCTGACAATAAATACGCTGTATGACACACTACCTGCAGGGTCTCCCGTGACATGTAGGCTATCTGTGACTCTGACAAAGGCCCGGTCACTGGAGGAGTGATACAAGTAATAGATGGACACAGAAAGAGAAAAGATGAGATGATGTCAAAGAGTGGAAAAGAGTTCGAACAGAACAGCAGCACAGTTATGATTAAAACGCATGTGTTTGTGAAGGTGCATGTTTGTACCGTGATAGATGTCCTGCAGAGAACCTCCTCCACAGTACTCCATACTGATCCATAACTTATCTCTCCTGCACACACACACACTTTTTGTCAGTACACCTTCACACATACACACAATGTTTCACCCACTTGATTTCTCCTCACACACACACACACACACACACACACGTTTTCTCACATACACCAGCTCATCTCTCTGTACTTCTCTGACAAACACACACAACGGTAAAATGACATGCTTTAATACCAACACCATGCACTTTGATAACAACCACAACTAAACGTTACGCATCTGACACACACACACACACACGCACAAACTTAAGTCAGATAACTGCCAAAATAGGCAACAATGTTGGAGTGTTTACAGTCCTTCATCATTATAATCTCCTGCTGGACGACAGCAAAGTCCTCACCTGGAGTGAAAACATATGTGCGTGCACACACACACACACACACCACACACACACACACACACACACACAGTTGTCATAGTGATAATCCAAAACTGCAATGCCTGACATTATTATTATTTTTTAATAAAGCAACAGAAAAGAAGAGTTTGTTTCATTTCCAGAATTTTCTCTTGGGGATTAATTAGGTACTCTATCTATAAATTTGTGATTGTGTCTGAGTGTGTGTGTGTGTGTGTGTGGGGAAGGGGGGGGCGCCAAGTGATGGAGGCAGACTCTTTGAAGCCACAGCAAAAGGATGAAGAGCAGCAGAGCAAGTTTCCACATAATGTTCTTTTTCAAAATTCCACACTTGGTGACCATACTGATGATGTCATGGGGTAGGACTAGATAAGTCTAACTTCTTCCTGTACTAGGTATAAGCAAATTGATAAGGGATTAACATTTGTGGATATGTGTAAAATTATGTGTGTTGACATATCGACTATCTTTACATGCTTGAAAGAATAAAATCAAATCAAATCAAATCAAAAAATACTTATTTGGAACACATTCCCTGACTTCCTATAATGTTTTAAGTTTTATTTATGACAGTTTCTTTTTTTTCTTTTTAGTGGAGGGCTGGAAGATCAGCAGATGGGATGGAAAGGGAGGAAATATCACATGGGGGGAGAGAGAGAGTTAAGCACAGG